CTGACCACTTGCCTTGATGTTTTCTAGGGAAGCGATTTGTTTGTTCTTGTAGTAACAGCCCATCTGCCTCCATTTTTCTTGCAGGTCTTTCTTTCAAGAGGTATCTTTTATTCTTCTAGCCGCTCCAGGCTGGTCTGCTCGTCCTTTCAAGTGGAGATTTCTCATCTCTGGAGATCTGGATTTGGTTCCGGTTTCTACCTATAGTTTTATGCATTGCAAAGGCTCTGCAAGAAGCCTCATTCACTGGATAAGCTGTAGCCCCATTTTAGGTATTCCAATCAGTCATAGGCAGAAGACGGACTTACAAGCCTTCTAAGTGTGGTGTTTCTGACTATTCCTTTCTCTCCCTCTCTAGTGTCTACTCTGAGTTGCCTGGTCAGGGAAGCGCCGCGTCACTCCTCCATGATTCTTTTAACATTCTTCTCAAACACTATAATACAAATGTCCCATGTGGTTTCTTATACATGTTGTTTGTATCTTTTTGCTCTTGTCTTTTGTTAGGTTGCCAGTGGTTTGTCAATTTTATTAATCCTTTCAAAGAACCAGCTTCTTGTCCTATTGATCGCTTCTATAGTTTTTCTGTTTTCTATCTCATTTATTTCTGCTATAATCTTTATTATTTCTTTTCTTCTTTTGGCTGTAGGCTTACTTTGCTGGTCTGTTTCTAATTGCTGGAGATGTTGTGTTAGTGTGTTGATTTTGTTTTTTCTTCTTTTTGCATGTGTGCATTTATTGCAATAAACTGTTTTCTCTGCACTGCTTTTGCTGTGCCCCATTGATTTTGGTGTGTTGTGTTTTCATTCTCATTTGTTTCTAGGAACTTTGTGAATACATGTTTTATTTCTTCTACTACCCAGTAGTTTTTAAGGAGGGTGTTATTCAGTTTCCATGTATTTGACTTTATTTCCTTGGTCTTCCTGTTGTTGATTTCTTATTTTATAGCATTGTGGTCCGAAAAAATGCTTTGTCGTATTTTGATGTTTGTAAATTTATGGAGGTTTATTTTGTGGCCCCAACACTCATAGTCAATTCTGGAGAATGTTCCATTTGCACTGGAAAAGAATGTGTATTGTGCTGTTGTTGAGTTGAATGCTGTGTATACATCTGTGAGGTCCAGTTGGCTGATTGTGTTGTTTAGTTCCTCTGTGTGTTTGTCGAGTTTCTTTCTGGTTCTATCCTTTTTCGAAAGTTGTATATTAAAATCTCTCACTATTATTGTAGATTTCTCTCTTCAAATCTATTAGAATTTGCTTTATATATTTTGGAGCTCTTTCACTGGAATGTAGATACTTGTTATGGTTATGTTATCTTGTTCAGTTGACCCTTTAATCATGAGATAATGTCCATATTTGTCTCTTATGTTGGTTTTTGCTTTAAAGTTTTTTTGATCAGAGATTAATTAGTATTGTCACTCCTGCTCATTTTTTAAATTACAACTAGCTTGGTATATTTTTTTCCATCCTTTGACTTTTAGTGTTTTTTTGTCGTTGTGTGTAAGGTGTGTCTCTTGCAGACAGCGTATTGAAGGATCTTGTTTTTCATCCATTCTGCCACCCTCCGTCTCTTATCTGCTGCGTTTAATCTATTGACATTCAGTGTAATTATCAATAGGCATGAATTAATCGCTGTCATTAATGTTTGTTGTTTTGTGGTGCTGCTGGTTTGTTTTTGGTTTTCTTTCCTGTCAGCTTCTTTATTGTTTTAATATTTTCATGTTCTTCTTGGATTTTCATTTTCTTGGTGTGTTGTGGAATATTAATTTTCTTTGAGGTTATCCTGTATTCTATAAACTTTTTCCTCCATTTAAAGCAGTCTGTTTTGTCAGGAGGAAACAGTCGCTGGATAAGGATGTCATGCTGGGTAAGATGGAGGGTCAGAGAAAAAGAGGAAGACCCCTAACGAGATGGATCGGCCAGGTGGCATCACTGATGGACTCAAGTGTGGCAGCGATAGTGAGGTTGGCCCAGGATCGGACATTGTTTCATACTGCTGTGCATGGGGTCGCTATGAGTTGGTTCCGACTCGATGGCACCTGACAACAACAACAACAACAACAACAACAGCAACAACAATTTTATCCTGCAATCTACCTGACCTCCTCATCACCTGAATCTCTGTTCCTATGTTTTTACCTTCTTTCACATTGTAAATGATTGATCATAGACTGTCCTCCCAGATCTTCTGAATTTGTCTTGTAGTTTTATTTTGTTCTAGACTCTTCTGTCTGCTGATTGAGTTCCAGATGGTGCTGCCACATATATCAGTCTCTGGTTGTTGTGTCGCTCTGTTTAAAGTGCTGGAAACAGTGACTGGATTATAATAAATGCTGTGTAGGTGATTTTCTATCATTGTTGATTTCATTGTGGTTATATGCAGTCGAGTCCGCTCGTCTCATAGCCACTTGTGTAGGGCTTCTAAGGAATGGCTGGTGATTTTGAACTGCCAACCTTGCAGTCCAGTGCATTATGACACAGTGCTGCACCAGGACCTATTAAAACTCATCTTCATTGCACCCATAAGCATACTGCCTTTGCTTTCATCCTATGTTGGTGTTATCAGAATGCACCCCTGTCTCTCCTGTCACTTCCATCACTTCAAGAAATAAAGCCATTTCTTGTCTCGGTCTGTTCCGAATGCCTTGCATGATGTTTGGTCAATTTGTGCATTTGTTGAATTTGAAACTGAACTCAAGTCTCTGTAGTTAGAGATAGCTGCTGTTCAGTTGACTACAAATCCACAGTGATCCATGTATAACAGAACGAATCAGTGCGCGGTTCCCCATCCTCAGCTTTTGGTATGTTCAAGTTCACCCTGGTGACTGCTGAGTCCGTCCTTCACTCCAAGAGTGTCTCCCACCCTCATTGACCCTCGACTTTACCAAGTGCCATGTTCTCCTCTCCTGGATTATCTGCCTGAGGATGTATTTTAAGCAAGTGAGTCTGATGGTGTTCTGTTTTCATTGGCTACCTTTCAGAAGTAGATTACCATGTCTTTCTTCCTATTCTGTCTTAGTCTGAAACCTCCACTGAAACCTGTCCACTATGTGGGACCCTGCTGATCTTTGAAATACCAGTGGCTTAACTTTCAGCATCACAGCTACACACAAGCCACCGTAGCATTACAGACTGACAGGTGGGCGTTGACCAGTGGTTGGCGAGGTCCTCAGTTTGACTCTTTGGAGACAGTGCTCTCTGATCTGACTTTGTTGTTGCTGTTGCTGGTGCTAAGTGCCTTTGAATCAGTTCCGACTCATAGCAATCCTGTGCAGGGGTTCCATGAAGTGGCTGGTGAATTTCAACCACCGACCTTGAAATTGCAGGGCAACAAGTAAGATGAAAGGCTATAAAGTAGGTTGAAGACCATGGCTGCCCCTTGCAATGTCCTCATTTGTGAGCATCGAAGTTCAAAAAACTGTTTGTCCAGTGTGACTTCAAAGAGTGGACACAGTGGCCCTTAGGCAAGCAGAGTAATATCTGTGTGAGACAGCAGGGAGCCTTAGGCCTTGGAGCCATGAAGACGCTGTAAGTTACCAGGATGTTTTAGTCACTCGGCGAATGTGTGAGATATTGGTCTTGAAATATCTGCTTTTAGAATGTTGCATTCTCTTTTCCTCACAGGATTTGACAGGATCTGAACTCTACACCCAGGCAGCTGATCTCTTGCACCCAGTTGTTTATATCACAGCTGTTGTTCTGCTCTTGTGCCTCTTCGCTGTCATCATCACTTATATATATCATCACAGGTAAGGGGGAAAATTTGGATGTATATACGAATATATATGAATCTGTCTTCTTTGGATTAGACGAATTTATGTCACCTTCGGTTAGGATAAAACATTAATTCCAGGCTGTACTCCACAGTAAGGATTGTTACTGTGTGATGTACACTTCATTTCATGCAGTTTAAAATATAAATAACTAATGCCTGAGATGGCCAATTCATCTTTTAAAGCCTCCTGTCTCTGTGCCTGGTTTGGGACAGTTTGGTTCCTGTGTACAGATGTGGGTATACGTGCTTTTTTTTCTTGCTCCTGACAGGAAAGCATATCCTTTTTTAAGTCCAGCATGAACAATAAACCAACAATTGATAATATATAAATATTTAAAAAGAAATAAGTACTTGGTATTTGGGCCTGGCATTAATAGTATTTATCATTCATGTTACTATGTGCTGTCTGATTGGTTCCCTCTCCTAGCAACCCTGTATAGGGTGTCCAAGACTATTAATCTACGGGAGCAGAAAGCCTCATCTTTCCTGTGGAGCAGTTGGTGGGTTCAAACCACCAACTTTGTGATTATAAATGGTTACTAACTATCTAGTTGGGAGTCCCTGGGTGGCTTCAAGGGTTAAGCACTCAGGTGATAACTGCAGGGTTAGAAGTTTGAGTTCACCCAGAGGCGCTTCGGAAGAAAGACTTGGCAACTCCTTCCTGAAAATACTCCTTCTTGAAAACCCATCGGAGCAGCGTTTGACTCTAACACACATGGAGTCACTGAGATTTGGAATCAGTTTGGTGGCGGTTGGTTTTTCAATATTGAGCTATTGCCAGTTGCCGTCAGTCTCTGGAAACAATATGGATCGGGTCAGGGTGGGGACACTGCAGGTTGTGGGGTACAGCACAGGAGAGAGCGAGGTTAGTTTTGAAGTTTGGTACCTCTAGAGGCAAGCTGATGCCCTAACTTTGCATACCAACTTGTGTTGTTACTCTCTGATTTTCTGACTTTTATTCCTACTGTGGGCTCCTGGTGTGGTGCTGTAGAATCACTACCGGACTTCAAACCCTAAGTTCGGCAATTCAAACTCACCAGCTGCATCTGGGAAGCCCTATACAGGGTCGCTGTGAGTTGGAGCTGACTTGATGGCACGTCACAACAGCAATGCCTACTGTAGCATCTGTATTTTACAGGTGGCATTTAAAAGAAAGTTTGTGGCATTTAAGCTGTTTTTTTGTTAATTGGAGGCAAAGCTACAGGAACTTTCACCTTACGGGAGGAAATAGTGAACTAAAAGAATTTTCACAGCAGAAATTCAGTTTACAAATGGTTTTTGCCAGAATGTATTTTCCACTGAAGCTCGACAGATAGGACATTTCTTGACATTTACTTATAAAACAAAAGGAAATTTTGCTTAAAAAAACACACAGCAGCTGGACATTTTGTTATGAAAGGCCAGAAGGAAATGTATTGATTTAAATGTGCCCTAGTATGTCAGAAATGTGGCAAAATTATCCAGGGAGGCCCAAAATCATTCAGTAGTTAGGAGACACTGTCCTTGTCAAGAGCCTCACAATATTTTACCTCTGAGCGTTTGTTTCATTTTTAGTGGGTGTCACAGTGTGGCACTGCTGGATAAGCACTGGACCGCAAGGTCGCTTAAGATGGTGGTTCAAATCCACCAGTCACTCCTCAGAAATCCTACACAGGGTCTCTAAGAGTCAGAACTGACTCAACAGCACTTAACAACAACAGTATAGTTCTATAAATGGCTTTTGTGTGTTTGTGTGTGTAAGATTAAATGTTAAAAAGCTGTACTGAGTTAAAATAAGATTTATCCAATTCTGTATATATATGTGTGTGTATGTGTGATAGTATATATACATATTTAAATAAAATCTCTAGCTCTGAACCTTTTTAATGTGACCCGTTTTGAAGTTAGAATTACTCACTTGTAGATGAGGATTGCTAGTATCACACTGTACATTTTAATATTGTACTCCTTTTATTTTCTTTAACAGTTTGATTAGAATCAGCCTGAAGAGCTGGCATATGCTTGTGAACTTGTGTTTTCATATTTTCCTGAGCTGCGTGGTCTTTGTGGGAGGCATTACTCAAACCAGAAACGTCAGCGTCTGCCAAGCAGTAAGTCATTGCAAAATTGAACATGGGAAAAAATAGTGGTTATTAAGACTCTAGTTTCCAAAATTGCATTACCTATAGCAGAAAAGGTGGGTCTGTGAAGTGTTTTTTTGTTGGTTTGTTTTTGCTTTTCATCTTACTAATGAAAGCAAAACTGTCTTCCCACTTCGACAGTTTACTAAAACGGTTCACTGTATGAGTCATTGCCACAACTCACTATGTGTCATAAGGAAATCACTTTACCTATCTCTGGCCATCCTGAGTTCCTTATCTGTTATAATGCCTATTGTTTAATTTTTAAAAAAATATTAATAAAATCCTGAGTTTGACTCAAAAAGAAGTACAGTCACTTGTTCCATACTGACATGGTTAGGTTACAACAACCAGGGCATTTGTATGAACCTCAGTCTTTCTGTGTGTGCGTTGGGACTGTGTCCATTTTTGGCACCGCTGTGTGTGGCTTTGTGGGTTGTACTGCCCCATCATGCCTTCTCCACTGCTGTGGATCCATGGGGGTTAGGGGTGGTGGTAGTGGTAGTCAGAGATTGCTTTCCACCTCTGGAACAGCAGGGGCCCACCATCACCTGGCTGTGTTCCAGGCCTCCTGTGGCCCCCCGTGTCTTACCTTTCTTTTCCACCAGCCCCAGAGATAGGCTGGCGGTGGCCGGAGGCTGCTGTGACTATGGGCAGGTGAGGCCCTGCCACCTGGGCCTGGCAGAGGCAGCGGAGGTGGGAGAGACGCCTGTTTGGAAGGAAAGATTTCCAAGTCCCTTGTCTGAGTCTGCGGCTCTGTTTCTTGCCGCCTCCTCCTCCCACCGGCTGCCCCTGCTTTCTGTGCCCTGCTCACCTGTGTCACACTGGTCGTAGGCTCCTGCACAAGTCTGGTACCACATCCTGTCAGTGGTCCTCATCACAGCCTTGCTCCTGCTCACAAACCTCGCCATGCTCCTCTTCCCTCATCTTCTCCCTTCCTCTCCTCCTCTTACCTTGGCTCCTTATTCATACACAAAACAGTTGGATCCCCAAACTCACTGCATCAAGTTAATTCGGATTCCTAGTGACAATAAGACCAAGTAGAACTAGCCCACATGGTTTCCAAGGCTGTGATCTTGAAGGGAGCAGACAGCCTCATCTTTATCCTGTGGAGTGGCTCATGGATCTGAACTGCTTGACCTTGCAGTTAGCAGTCCAACATTGAACCCACTGCACCCAAGGACATCTTCTCAATAGTCCAGTAGCAGATTTTTTTTCTATTGTATAAGTGAGGAGTGGGCATAATATTTTCTGACATTAAAACACAAAGCCACCCCCACTGTTGTTGAGTCTGTTCCATTTCATAGCGGCCGAACTGCCCCACAGGGTTTGTAAATATGTACAGAAGCGGACTGCCACATCTTTCTGCCTCAGAGCAACTGGTGGTTTTGAACCGCTGATCTTTTGGTTAGCAGCCAAGGGCTTTACCACTGTGCCACCAGTGGGCCTTTTTCGGACAGTCGGATTTTTAAAAATGGCCTCTTCAGTTAATGAAAGCAATGTTGTTGTT